TTTAGCAGAGTAAGACTAGAGGGAAGGCAGCTAGTATCACCACCCACCGCCAACTCTTGGGCTACTCTTTTACCAACGAATAGTGGGATTGACCGTCACATTATAACTCCCCCACGGCTGAAAGGGCGAGCACGTTTGGTGGGACGGGGATTCGAACCCGCGACCCTCAGATTGCGAGTCGAGCGCTTTATCCAACTGGCCATGTAGGGCCAAACTTCTTTACACAGACATTTTAAACCCAATAAACGAATGATTAAGATCCCTGCATAGCTCAAGTATCCAAGTCTTTATTTTTTAATGCAGTGAATGGCGTACTTAATATAGTTGCACAGTTCAACTTCTGTGGTCAGTTTAGTAAATGACATATTAAACTCTTCTGCACGTGCTTACTTTTTTATAATTTTGTTAATCTTAAATATGGTCAATTAAGTACCTTTGATAAAAGTACAGCTTCCCAATTATATTGTACATGCAAGAAAACATCAGTTGAACTCTCTTGCGTAATCCAGCTTTCCACTGATCTTGTAAATCCAAGCAAAAGACAATTAATCTTTTTTTTAACACGGATCAACTTTCTAATTATGTTGTCAATGAAGAAAAGGCTTAGTGAACTCTTTTGCATAGTCGGACTTTCTAATAATATTGTAAATAATAAAGCCAGCTAATCCTTTTTGCGTAGCATAACTTTTCACTAAAGTTATAAATCCAACTGAGAACTTGCCGTTGAAAGCTTTTGTATAACCCAACCTTACAATAACATTGTAAATATGTAGCTCAACTTTTCAGTGATATTTTTAATGTAAGATTTGGTTAAATGAACTCCCTTATTTAGCCCATCTATCCAGTAATATTGTCCATTCAAGCGACGGCCAACTGAGCCAAAGATAAATCCAAGAAAATACCAATCTAATTATCTTGCTTAGTTAAGCTTTCTAACAAATGTTGTGGATCTAAATTACGTTTCCTTGCGTAGTCCTACTTTCCAATCATGTTTTAATTCTAAGAACTGGCCGACTAACCACCTTGAATAGCCCAGCTTTGTAGTGATTTTGAGGATTCAAGTGATGGCCTGCTGTGCTCAATGGATAGCTCAAATTTCCAATAATGATGTAAGTGTTTTCAAGTGATGGAGCCCAAACTTATATTATTTTTGTAAGTCCTATTGATGATCGATTGAGCTGTTTTGGATAGCTCAACTTGACAATAATGTTAATCCAAGTGATGATCGATTGAGCGTGCCTGCACATTACAACTATATAATAATACTATAAATCCAGGAGAATGCCGCTTGAGCTACCTTAAATAGTCCAATTTACAGCTAGGTGACATAAAAATATATTAACATTTAAAGGGAAAACCTTTACCTGTATGACATTGTTTTTACATTTATTTTTCCTTGCATATTATATGATTAACTTCATTGTTAGCTGCATAAACACTAAAAAATCCAAGTACATAACACCAATTTTTTTTTCCTCCGTTACGTCAGCGGTAAGTTTATGGACTTAAAACGCTAAAATCAGGGGCTCGATTTCCCGCGAGAGACATAGCGCAGATAGCCCCGAGTGTGGATTTGTGCAAAATAAACAAAAAACTCATTGTCTTTTCATGATCTTTAAGAGATAATAAAATTGACAAAGTAACCTGAATGAATTTAGGTTGAATAGAAAGAAGTACTGCTTTAGATATTCTTAAGCTATTTGCATCACACAAAGTACTTACTGTTTATATATAGTTTTTATAACTTTCTTTTTAAATTTAAGGAAGAAAATGATGCAAGTAGGAAAAAAGCTACCTTCGTGGATTTACTGTTAACTCCTAATATGAGAAAAAAAACATTAAATCTATATTTTATTTGGTAAGTTAAAATCTTTCATATATTGATGATAGATATTATTACAATAAAATGTTTTAATAAGAAACTCTTCTTAATGATAATCTAGAAACTTACAATTATTGATAATTTTGTAGTCCTTTGAGGAATGTATCGAGTCGTATTCAACTATATCGAATGTTGAAATCAACTGATACATAGATGAATATCCTTTCAACTCTACTAAACTTTTTGTATTAATGTGTAAGTTTGCTTGATGATTCGTTACATAATATCGTGTCTTCTACGTTCCCATCACCTTTAATTTTATAGCTTTTATATAGTAAATGTTAAACTCTACATTTTACATTATGTTTTTTAATTAATTCCTAATACTTGTCATCAGCTTCACCAGTTGACGTTAATTCTAACGTTAAAAGATACCAGAACTGAAATCGCTATACTTAGTTCATCATTAGATCCATGACGTCAAATAAATGCTGCACACAATCCTTTAGATTCGGGAATAATTTATCTTCGATCATAATCAAATTAATCACGTCCATAATTTCCTTAGTAAAAATATTATTAGATTGTTAAACTTACACGACTGTTTCAATTTAAGTATAACACGAGTGTTAAATTTACTTATTTTTAGAACCGTTAATTTATCGCAGGTTTGTTTGCATAAATGTTCTGAAATCATACGTTGTGTACTTCAATTATTGTAAATTGGCGATTGTTATATTATTGCGTCATGTTACTATAACGTTCTAATTTTTTTTTAATTGAGAATTATTGCATCATAATATCTCGTAGTGTGTGGAAAGTTCAAGGCCTCTGTCAGGCTATAAATACGCATCCAAAATGTAGTTCGAGTTAGTTACATAGTTATAGGTAGATAGATCTAGACTGCGTGATTGTGAGTTTAGCCATAAGTGTATAGTATACAGTGGCGACTTTTAAAATGAAATTATTATCACAGATTGTATTGTAATAACAGAGTAGAGAAGAATAATTCGTCTTGTCAATTGTGTTCTAAAGTAACCGAACCAACCTGTGTGGTGTTTGACGACAACAGACAATTATTTAAAGCTCTGGATGAAAGTATGGTTACCAACAGTGTAACGTAAGTGAAATTATCACTGGCTGAATGGTGATAACAGAGCATAGAAGAATAATTCGTCTTGTCAGTTGTGTTATAAATTAACTGAACCAGTCTTTCTGGACTTTGATGAAAAGAGATGATTATTTAAAGCTATGGATAGAACTTTGATAACTAACAGTCTAAAGAACATTTGTATATACGTTTGAATTGTTTTAGTATATCAATTTCAAACAAGTGGGCTGTGTGCTGTTTGTTTGTTGTTGAAATTTATCGCTAAAAAGTCCCAGACACCTACTGTAAAGAATTCGGCCCATACATAAAAACATGACACAGATGTATTATAATCGACAATTAACTGAGTAATGTAAGTGTTCCTTTTTTTCTAGGTCCATTAAACAAAATACCATGTTCCTTAATAGTTGTAGCAGTTTAATGACAAGCCAGTCTTGAAAAATATTAAATCCAATAAGGGTCCATGGCCTTGAGTTTTTATATTAGATGCCTTATCAGTATTACCAGACCTGACACCACTGTGCAGCATATATGATTTTAATTCATCTAATTAACACAAGTATTGAGAGTTCTATGTAAGAACCACAATTTTTTTTAGACTGTGTTTAAATCGCGTGCTTTGTGTTTGATATAGTGGATCTTTCAGTATTATTTTGTGTTTTTCAAAGAATTATAATATTCAGATATCATTCATCAATTTGTACCAGGTTCGTCCTGGCCTTTGTCTACTATGGTTTATCACTGAACACGAATAATCTCGGTGGTAATCCGTTCCTTAACTTCTTTATTGCTGGAGCAGTGGAGTTCCCTTCATATGGTGCTTCTGTTTTTGCCATCAAGTATTTAGGCCGTCGCATTTCGGGGATGAGCACCATGGTTATTGCTGGTTTAGCTTGTGTATTAACTATTCCCATTCCTGATGGTAAGGTTCCTAACTTGATAGTTAACATCAAAATATAATATGCGAGACTCACCGTAGTGATCATATGCATATCAAATAATATGTCTAATCACCTGACTGTTGTTTTGTATAAAAATAAACTCAGGAATGCAATTTACATAGCTACATTGTAGATAAGCATGATTTTCTCTTTATTTTGGGCATTTTTATGCACTTAAAATAATACAATTCTAATATTTCAGATTACCAGAATACAGTCTGTTCTATCTTGAGTAACAATAATATCTCCTGGGTTGTTTTTAGTCTAGCATAAAAGGAAATAATATCTTTATATGTGGTAAATGATAAGAAATATCACAAATGAAAGTTTTATCTAACCTTTGTTTCTCTATAAACCATAATGAAAGTTAGCATTAACTAAAGGTTAAAGTTCATAAAGCTGACTAGGCCACTACTAAATATTAGGTCGTCAAGAAATTAATGTCGCATTTTTGGAATGCTTTCATTAACCACCCCCCAAAAAACGTACATCACGTACAATAGATAAACAAACCGCCTAAGCATCACGTTAGTGTAGCCTATATAATGTGTAAAGTTTAGTATACTCTAATCCCTTATAGTGATGGCACACGACGACACACACATTCGGCGTGTAATGCTGCTTGAACACAAAAAGGGAAAAAACGCCTCTGTAGCCACAAAAAATATCAAAGTTTATGGAAATGTTTTGAACGTTCGTAAGAGTCAACGATGGTTCAGCAAATTAAGTTCAGGTGACTTTAGCCTTAAACACTGTGATGGCAGGGGTCAACATGTTGGAATTGATATTGATGATCTGAAGACGCTTGTTGAGTCTAACCAAAGGCAACACTCGTGAAATGGCCCTGAAATTGCTTTTCTCTCATGAAACAATACGTAAACATCTAAGGAATATAGGAAACTCTACAAAGAATGTGTTTGGTTGCCTCACGAACTCTCCGATGATCATCGTTTCCAACGTGTGAACGTTGCTTCGTCTCTTCTGGCGCGTAATGCGCGTTAACCATTTTTGGAAAGAATTCTCACTGGTGATGAAAAATAGATTCTCTATGCGAATATTAAACGCCAAAAACAATGGCTCAGTCCTAGAAAAAATCCACATCCGGCCCCAAAACCTGTACTCCATCCGCAGAAAGTGACGCTTTACATTTGGTGGGACATCAAAGGAGTAATTCATTTAAAACTTCTCAATCTACAGCGAACTATCAACTGGAACGTTTAAATCAAGCCCTTCATCAGAAACGCCCTTCACTTGTCAATCCGAAAGGTGTTCTTCTTCTCCACGACAATGCACGTCCACATGTGGCACATTTGACACAACACAAAATTATAGAGTTGGGTTGGGAAGTTCTTCCCCACCCACCATATTCTCCAGATATGGCACCATCAGATTACCATCTTTTTACTTCGTTGCAACACCATATTAATGGGAAAGCGTATGCAAATGTGGAAGGTGGTTAAAGAAGACATCGACATGTTTTTGCTTCAAAGCCAAGTCATTTCTTTAATCAGGGCATTAAAAACATGATTGTAAGATGGAAAAACATCATCGATAAGAATGGAGACTATTTCTCTCTCCCCGAGTACCCTTTACTGCGCATAACATAAGGTTTTAGTGTCTTACATTCAAAATTTTATTAAACTACTTTTTGTTTATGTTTTACCAATTAGAATAGCATAAAATCTTAGGTAATATTCCATATTTTAATGGTATAAAATTTTTAAGTTTTTAATTCTACAAGGAAATGTATAAAAATAGACTATTAATAAACAGGCAAAATAAAAGCAATGACTTTTATTTATAGCTTAAAATATCTTTAACGAAAATATATATATATATAATACAATAGAAAAGCAAAGATGGCTAATCCTAAATTATGTCTATTCTGAAGAAAATTTTTATTAAAGTTTTAAATTGAGTGACATTTTTGTAAATCCTTAACTTAATTAGTTGACTGCCAAAAGGATTATGTAGATGAGAAAAACTAAATCAATATATTTGCCTCTTGTTCTTCTCTGTAAATCCACATAGTGAAATCATAAGCTTTCGTTTTATAAAACCAAGTTTATATTAACGAAAACCTATACTTTAACCAATTCTGTATTCAAATGGATAGATATATAACAATACCTAGTTAACCCAATTTTCAAGTACTATTTCTCTTCTAACAGACCTCCTAAGCCTGCGAATAACTGTATCCATGATTGGTAAGGCTTTTATATCAGGTGCCTTTGGTATCATGATTGTTTATTCTTCTGAAATATTTCCAACCGTGGTACGCAACGTTGGTGTTGGATCTAGCTCCACATTTGCTAGAATTGGGTCCATGGTGGCACCATTTGCAGTCAAAGAACTGGTGAGCTTATATAGAAAATCTTACATCTAGCCAAATATCTTCTGCTTTTCTCCCACACCCCGCATTCTCTTCTCTATAAATCCAAATACGTTCTACTTAGAAAGTCTTAGTCTGAATTTGTGATTTCGGAATTTTTTTCACTAAACATATCATAATCTGTATTTAAATATTAATCATCTACTAAATATCAATCATTTTATTAGTAAATGTAGGTACCGTCTATATTGCCAAATAATCCTAGGTACGTGTATGCGCATGAAAGGTGACAGTACTGATAAAATTGTCAAGTACACTACCAGAGTGAAAGTAAAAGAGAAATATTCTGATATTTGGAAATTGGTAAGTACTATTCTATAATCTTCTTAATATATGGCTACTTTTGTATCTTCCATCTTGTAGGGTAAGGTGACCAACCCAAGGGTCCCTCTAGGAATATTTGGAGGATTTTCTATTTTTGCAGGACTCTTAATTCTGCTCTTACCAGAAACCAATAATAAACCGCTATCCGACACTTTAGAAGAAGGCGAGGACTTTGGAAAGTAAGTTGTTTTTCATAATTGCTGTGGTGATAGCAGAAATATATGGGACCTTGTATGGCCTAATGGTTAGGGCACTCGATTTCTAATGTGCAGGGCGCAACTTTAAGTTCTTTCACCAAAGTGCTCGCTCTTTCATCCAGGGGAGCGTTATAACGTGACAATCAATCTCACTTTTTTTGCTGGTAAATGAATAGCCCGAGAATTAGCTATTGGTAGTATTGAGTCTCACCTCAAAATTAGGTATGGCCAATACAGATAGTCGTTGAGTAGCTTTGAGCAAAATTCAAGAAATAAATAAACAAACAAAAAATATATATACTTTTATACTGACAGCAGACCAGTTCAAAGAGATTAGACAGTGATCCATCCTTTAGCATTCAAAAACTACAAAACAATTCAGGAAAAGGCTATAACAACTTTTTATTTCATCTTCTATTATCCAACTGTGTCGTACTAGTACATAATGGAAATGACTTTCAGTATTGTATAAACGTTTAGGAACAACTAGTATGCGTCATCGAGGGGTTTATAAATAGACTAAAGTCATAATTTCGGTGTTCAATCTCAATGTCAGTAACGATGTGATGTGATAGAAGGTAAATACTATCACTTTTTTCCTGTCACATTTTCGAAGTTATATTTTCATTCTTACTCAACATCAGCTGTAAGTCCTTCGGTTTGACGGCAATAAGTTTACGGACATACAACGCTAAAATCCAGGGTTTGATGCCTCGCACAGGACACAACACATAGCCTAATGTAATTTTGCTCTAAAAAACGGAAGTGTTGGTTCTGAGATAGCTCTCACTTGCATGTCAAGTAATGGTAGAGAAAAATAGAAGAGCTCTGGGATTAACTGTGAAAGTGATTGTTCTCTATGGTAAGGAATTTAGCTAATCATCGAAATCTCCATCAAACGAGTAATTTCTTGCCTTTTATATTTTTTAGTTAATCATTAGTTGGTTGGATTCCTTAATAACTATCTGTAGAGAATCTTTACAGATCAACAAACATCACATATATTTAGGACTTTGCATTTTATGTGTGTGTGCATATGTACTTCTGCACATTGAACTTTGCTCCAGTCTTTGAGTAACATGTTTTGTCAAAGTACAAGGTTTAATACTAAAAGCAAAGCCACAATGTGCACAGAAATTACAAAAATATGTATATCAACTATTGTATTCCTGCATACAGTACTTTTCTTCTTCATATTACCTTTAGACTGACCTAAATACCTCTAACTTTAAAATCAGAAATCCAATCAAAATCGGTGTAACCTGCTCTTACCTGTGAAAAATATATACACTACAATGGATACAAATAGAACAGGGAATACATCTTTATACAATACCAAATATTACATATAAGAATTACAAAAATGTGCAAACAAACAACTCTTCAATAAATGCTAAATAAAATAAAATCTTTAGTTTACATACACACATAATAGAAATGAAAACAAAGCACCCTAAAAAGTAAATTAAAACATAAGATTGAAACTAAATACAGTGCAGTAACATTGTCAAAATCGAAATTGGACAAAAATCCAGGGATAACGTTACTATACAAAAAAATGTTAAAATCTCTTATACAATACAGCCTTTTACAAAAACACATTAAAATACAAAATTTACATAAAAATTGAAAATAAAATGTGCAATATAATCAAAATACAAGATAAAATCCTTTATAAATCCCAGAAAAAATATTAAACTATCCTTTTTCCATTAAATGCAAAACACAAAAAAGGAGTATACATAAATCTCTCAATGCTTCAACAGACTGTCTTCCTCCTGACTGTAAAATACTAAAACCTCCATTCACGTAACTGCTTAATCCTGGAAGTAACACTTTAAAGCCATTATTTACTAAAGCATAAGATACTATTTTATTTTAGTTGGGGTAGATGCTAACCTCAATTTTCTGACCATGGAAATTCATTAACACCAACAGCTCACTTCCTTTCAGACAGATATTTAGCACAGCTAAAGGAAACTATGAAGCAATATCAAACATGTGTTACTTCTTGTCTTCAACTGTACACTTACAGAATTGAAAAAACAAAGATTGTTTTTCTTCAATTCTGTAATGTTAAGAATATATTTAGTAAAATTGTATGATTCTCAAAATACTTAAATCTACATTATAGAGAATATTCAATCATAACCAAATAAAATACTTGGTGCACCTTCTTTACATTTGGTATGCTACGTGTTCATATGTTCATACACTGTTAAGTATCTAGGTGTCATCTTTAATAAACATCTAACTTGAGAATCTCGGATAAAAGCTCCCAATCACAAGGTCACTCAATGTCTCAATCTCTCATGATGCCTAACAGGAACCTTCCATTTTAAAGCACCTCTTCTTTTATACACATATAAGTCATTTTTTAGCCCTGTATTGCATATGGTCATAGTGCCTAAATATATATTTTATATTTGACTTATAGTTTTCGAACAATGCCCTATAGATAGATGGTTTTCAACATTACACTTCCTTGTCCTACAAAGGAGCTGTATGATAGAATCATTTTTCTTCTATAGTCTTACATCTATGCAAACGTCACAACAAGTATGCTACTAGCTGATTATTTTTAAACCTGTATGTTATATATCTTCCAATTCATTATCCTAATATGTGATATTACTGACCTTATTTCATTATCATTGGCATCAGAACCAACAAGAACTCACAATCCAACCAATACATGAGCTTCCAGTAAAGCATGTTTTAAGGACAGAAATGCTTGCTCACACTCCTCGATCTACCTAAATATGCATTTGCTTTAATGAAAAAAGATAATGGCTTGGCGACCTGTGATAAGTTAGCAAGTAGCACTGATAATACAATGCAATACCCATGAAACTGGGGAAGTTTTGCTAGGTCACAACTTCATTTTGGGGTTGATATTAACTCTCCAATCATGTCTAGCCTATCACTTAACCAGAATACATTCATTGTTTAAAGGCCAGAATAGTGACTTCATTCAGAATGTCTGATACATATCTAAATTAACCAGTGCCCTGAAAGCTCTTGTATCAACCAGTAATTCCACCTAACTCTTACACAATGGAAGTAATGCTAGTGATGCCACCATTTTCAGTAACCTTCTCTTTTCCTGTCATTCTTGTGACTGTTCCAGTGCAAAGCTGAACATCCATGTTACCATAGTTACAGAAAACACCATCCAAACTAAAGCTTCCTGATTTCTGGACAGGAAACAGTGTATTTCATTTATTGGCTCTATATCCACATTACATGTTGCCAACGTGCTTTATCTTGTTATTAGTAAACCACAAAATGTCATAGGATGCAGCACTGTGATTCCCTATTTAATATACACTCGTGCAGTTTACTGACCTTGGGATCAGCCTGGCTGGCATCAAATGTTTTATCTACTCGTGGAAACACTATTCAACTGATGCATTGTCAAAACTGATCATAAATTTACTTAGTACATTCATCCTGAGGATACAAATGGCAGAACCTAGGTCAATGACGACTGCCTTCATTCTAGGGTTAATATTACCTAGACATGGTTGGAGACATGCCTCTCCAGTAATGTCTAGTCTATCGCTGTTCACCAGAAGGAATCCAATGTTAATAGGCCAGAATAATGACTTCACTCAGAGTGTCTGATACAAACCATAATTCTGGAAGCTCATGTATCAACCAATAACTCCATCTCTTGCCCTTGTATCTTTATGGGTGCATACCAAGCAACACCCAACCCTGATTGATTTGGGCTGACTACCAAACCTTTTCATACACGCTGCTCACTGCACCTTCCCACGTCAGTGGCCAGACACCCAGACCCAACTCGAGCTCCATTAGTTTCTCAAAGTGGAAATAGCAGTAGCATCATAAGGTATGGGCAGTTCACTTTGAAGTGATCCTGCTGCCCACATCCAATGCGTATTTTTTGGTTCTCTTTTCTGGAGCAGTGTCTAGTCAGAAGCATTGGCTGTAGTACAAATATAATGGAAGAACCAGTTAATCCCTGCTCATTCACTGGCAGCCAGTGAAGTTGTGTCATAGTACTAAGACGTGTTTGCTGCTGGTTTGCCTACAGCAAAGCTCAAGCTTGGTGTGAGGACTCACTAGGTTAGGGTAGCTTGTTCAAGGCACAAAAACTACAGCTGTTGCTGTAGGTTTCTTCCTCTCTTGCTTGCAATCTGTTCATCACTACAAAAGTTGCTTCTATTGTGGTGAGAATTTGTCTCACACCCAAGTGATGCTTCATTATCTGACTTAGTAGTCATTCAATGAATTTGTCGATGAAGATATATTTGCAACCTGCCAAAGGTAATGCATGCAATGCCTTCGCATGAAATTGGTAAAGATCGCCTGCATAAGCAACCAAGTTTCTGGGAGAATCCCTCTTTTCATCCTTGAATTGGTCTAATGTACAGATTGACTCTCTGCCAAAATGAAACGTTACCACAGCTCAGCTGCAACTGTATTATAATAATATAGTAGCAGCTCCCTCAATAATCGAGGGTTAGATGATCTAAGCTCAAGGTCAGGCATTGTGTCATCTGTTCCCGAGTACAGCCATTCCAGGCAGGTAACTGCCTAAAATGATTCAAGAAATGATCCAGGTCTTATTTTACATCACCTTTAAACGTAATAAGCATGGCGTTATTGAATTGTATGTATAACCACCGTGAAGTAGAAGAGTTTGGTAACACAGCTGTAATCGTGATTCCACAGTATCAATAAAATGGTTACTCGTTCATCAAACTGTAGAAAAATCTTACATAAATGGAACTTTAACGGGAAAAGAACGTTTCTTAGACTGCTTCAGCATGTGAATTTTGTGTAGAAAATGAAATCACTTAACTTCTAAACTTTTTTTTAATTTTTGGTGTCTCTTACAATTATTAGCCAAAGAACGCAGTTACTTACTGACCTGCTAGTGGTAATCCCACTATTATCATTAGCCTTCATTGTTTTCATTTGAAAAAAGAGAAAATATTGAAGTTTGAAACTCTCCGTTTGCATATACACTGAACATATAACGAGTATTTGTTATTCACTAAGAGCTTAGTTTATTCGACTGTTTAAACTTCCATATAATTTATATTATTATATTAATGCATTATTATTATTATTAAATGTTATTTTATAGTTGTGTGTTAATAAATTATTATTTTTATTTATATTTTCAGAAAGCATTCCGCAAAAGTTTCACCTTTGGAAAAACAAATCGTCTTTTCCACTAAATTATAATGGAAAATTTGAGTGTTTTTTATTGTTTTTATAAAAGATAAGTAAATAATTTTGTGTTATACATAAAGTGAATAAAAACTGTTTAAACTAACAAACAACAACGATAAAACTTTCTTGAATGTATTCACCCAGGATAAACAGTGCATTAAGCATTAGTAATATTAGTTGAACGGGATATTATAATAAGAGAAAACATTTGTACACTGTTATGTATTAGTATTGGTTTAATCTAACTTTATTCTAATATAGACTGTCTTTATACGTATAAATCCCTTTCGTTTTCATTGTTCTATCTTGTTTTTCCATGACTCCATAACATAGCTCAACAATATCCCTACTCTATTCAGCTTTAATGCAACAAAAGCTATCCTATACATACAAAGTTTGAACCTTCTGTTCAATAGAGAATGGCATATCTTATAAACATCTGAAATAATTCATATCTTAATAAAAGCTCCTTCTTTGTGAACTATGTTAAAATATAGGTATTTAGTGAAATTGTGATATATACTGTCTTTAGACTCTGGAATTAAGGTAGGTTTCCCTTAGAGTCACGTGTTGACTACGGCATTTGTTGGAAAGTACGTACCAATATTTCCACGTTACATCACAAAAATAGCATAAACATTTACTAAAACTCAGTTAAATTTAGTACACATCACAGACAAGACAACAATAAAAGAGCAACTGTCAGATAGTAAAGTATATAGTATATAGACAGCTCCAGGTATAATTGACAAGCGAATTGCGAAAGTTACATGTTATATTAAAGAATGTACATGAAAAATCAAAGTTAATGTGTGTACGACAAAAGTACATATTTGTATTTACTTTGATAATTTGAATTTGTTTTAACGTTTTGTTTATAATAAATAAGGGAATATGGAAAAGTAGAAAAACGTAAAATCATATGAAATGTAAACGTGATAACTTGTAAATCTATATAAATTCATCATCAACATTTCATCAAGAAAAAAAACATTTTTGATGTAATCATCATAAAATGTGTATTATGATATGTTACTTATCCCTAATGAACGTGTACTTATATAAATTTAAATAAAATTCTTATCATACAAAACCATAATTTTGTTTTGTAACTCTTATTGATTTCCACAAAATAACCCAGCTTTTAAAGAGGGACTTTCTAACTGTAGTTTTGACCATAGCAATCATCAATTCGTTAATCATTTAATTTCCATTGAGTTTACGATTACAAGCTTTGAAAAAGCAATTTAACAAAAATGCTATGATGTTATAAGTCATGTTACACAACAAAATATTTCCAGCTCATTGTTGATTTTAGCTTTTGTTATGAAATTAGAATCATGTATTGATAGAATCCTCATGAACTGTGTGCTCTCCCATTTTTCTATTAATAATTCAGATTTGTGTATATTCTCCAGTATTCCCCAATTACTGACTCATATTTGTATATGTTCTTCAGTTATTTTTCAATTACTGATTCAGGTTTATGTATGTTCTTCAGTTATTTCCTAACCACAGGTTCAGATTTGTATGGACGTGAAAAACAACTTCGAAAACTCCCACGATCAACTTTTCTCAGGCTTTGGTTAATAAGCATATTAAATATACATATAGTTTCATTTTGAAGCAGTTACCTTCGCTAGAAAAATACTTCTCTCAAAATGAAAGAAATTCAGCTTTTTGAAATCTTGTTTTGTTAATTATATTAATGTTTTTATTGCATTCTCGTCCAATATTATTTGTATTGTTTTTATTTTACTTTCCAAATGAACATTAGTTTGTGTATTTCTAGTTTATTTATGTAAAGCGTTCGAAAAAAAAGAGATGGATTTCCTGTCACCGATCTATTTTGTTATCCTGGGAAACTAGTGTACATATTTGCTCAAACACTTTTTGTTTTGAATTTCAACTTAAAATTAAATATTTATTTAGTTATTTTGAAATATTTTCACTTTCTTTAACAAATTTTTGCCTGGAATTTCATTCCAAAAAAGGTTATTTAATCTTTCAAACTACGGTTAAGTAACGTGTTTTATATGTTGTGCATTTTCTATGGACTCTTTGTCTACGTTTGTAATACTTAGCAAGGATCCCGTAACGTTGTATTAAAAACAGAACTCCATTGAAAATTCAGCCCATTGATTATTTATTCAACAATTCCTGGAAGGTTTTGGAACTCATTTAATAAGTTAACGATAAAACATATTGTGCACCTTAGCGATGTGCGAGCTGATATCTTTTATAACAAGGTCACATCCATAGCAATGGAAAGGGGGTAATAATAATTTTTTTAACAATTGTTAAAAGACATGTACAGATAGTTGTCAAGGCTAAAACACTTTCGGTTAAAGCATTTAGAGGAATTCGTAAGAAAAAGAAAGTGGTATTTTGTAACTCAAAATATTTAACTCTATAATGATAGCATACTGAAAACAAAACTCGTATCTTGGTAAAGGCCTTTTTTTTAACCTTGAAGGTTTCGAAGCGTGACGACAACTTCGGTTGTAATTCTTAAAGTTTCTGATGTGTGATTCTGGTACACACACCATAGATATCCATACCCGTAAATCCGGTTTTAAACTGTCCTGGAAACAAGCATGAATCTGCATGACAGTAAGTTTCGGTCTTCACCTTCTTTGTTAATATAAAATAATTTGCCAACAATTCAATAAGTCATTTCTTTCTTTTCATTTTAATTATTATATTTCAAGATCATTTGTGTTTTCCATGTTCGTACAAGTTGTGAAATCAGTTTATAAAGTATTAAAGTAGAATTAAATTAAATTATTTAATTAAAAGTTAAAACACAAGTCATTTAGTAACGCTTACTGTAGCTTAGAGGCAAATTATGAGAGCTTCTAACGCTTAAAATCGGTTTCGATACCCACTGTGCACAGATAGCCTATTCTACTGAACTTAAAAGCAAAAACAAACATTTCGTCGACAAAAACGTTGGAGTGAAAAGCATTTAAAATGTTTTGTGCCTAATGTTTCGAAATATATTTCTATAGTCATCAGCAAAGTCTGACAAAAAGTGTATCAAGATATCTTAGTACAAATGCGGTAAAATCCAAATTATATCTTAGATTATGAAAATTAGAAAATATTGGGAATACCTGATAAGTTGAATATGTAAAATAAACTGAAGTATAGCTTGCATTATTAAAACACATTTTAATATGAAAAGAACAGTGCTTATAAAGTGAAACACTTTTTAAAATATCAAAAACTGGAAATGAAATATTAACATATCAGTCGGAATACAAGCAATAAAATTAGAACAGTTTTAGTTGAAAATATTGATATTTATTGATATTATTATAGGGCGAGAAGGCTTTCTTTAATAGGAATTTCAAGGTCTGTAGATCCACTTGTAACTATGGTAAACTTGCTCATTGCCATACCATGACTTGTGATAGAATTGTTTAGGTAGAGAATTATATTTCGACAAAGGCAGGTTACACAATACCCTAAGCGTTGGTAAACTTGGATTTTTCAATTTCGTTTAATTTTGCTAATAATTTATGACCTTACATGGGTCTATGAGCCATAAATGAAGACGATAGTTAGTTTTTATCTTGAAAGAAGTTTTTATTCGAAAACTAGGTTTAAAGAAAAGGTTAAGCTGACTCTGGAGGTGTATTTTATTTTTCTTCGTTTATGAACTTGTTTTTTCAGCTTGTAAATTCTGAGAACCCGTTAACGGTAAACACATTTAAAGAGGAAATTTTGAGACAGTGCATGGTTTGATATAGGTTCGAACGTGTTGTCAAGGGACTTGTTGGACAGTGATTTCATTTTAAAGGTTTGATCATAGAGGATGATTTCTTCATGTATACGGATGTAACTACAATGAAAAAGCTAAAGATCTTGTTTAAAATAGATATGAACAGATTACGTTTGAAAATAACTAGAATAAGGCTGCTATAGATAGAACAGAAGCAGGTGGGAGTGTTTTTATGACATAAAGATGTACAAAAAATATGATATTTTTAAGTTATCTTGCTAATCAGAAAAGGGGGCTATCCAGTTTTTTCTTCCTCAAAGCAACAGGAGTTTAAATATGCCAGAAATTTCGGAACATGGTTGACATAGAGAAACAGAAAAAAACGTGTTATCTAGGAAGAGCTTATTTAAGACCGGCTTGGAAAAATGGATGTCAATTGCCTAACTACGTGTCTAAGTGATGATTGAGTAAAATACTGGTCAAGGTTATTCCAAGGGGAAACCCATGGTGATATCGATAATATCGGTGAAGGTGAGAAAATCTGTGGAATTGGGTATGTATATCGGTGTGTGTCGGAAAGAGACAATGGAAATATTTCTAAAGAACACTCTATCCAGATAGAGTTTGATGCAGAGGAGTTCGATATCTATAGACCAACTATACCATATTCATTAATATAGGACTTTTTTTTAAAAATTTCAGAAGCAAATTACAGCTAAATCCCTATCTAGTGCATTAGATTTCATATTTATATTCCATATACACGTTACTTGTGTATAAACACTCCAAAACTTACAGGTGTCATCCATGTTCAAATCCAATACTCATTTAACATTAAAATCACATATGTTAAGAGTTACTAATGGCAAATCGAATCTTTTATTAGAAATGTTGATACACTAGAATATCATCTTTTGTATACAAGCAAAAACAAGCTATTCAGCGCAGGTAAGAATTGAAAGTAAGATACCTGAATTATAAACACACCCTAATTAGAAGAATCCAGCAAAGGGGTTGAATACTTATGCAGTTGAGAATATTCTAATTTTCTTTGACAATCTAACCTACTTATATAATATCGGCCTTTTTTTAGCTTTCTCAGTTTGGAGTAGATTCTAGATATAAAGTCCCATTTGAAAGTTTCATGATTGCAAGCTCAGACGGCAACAAAATGTAGAAAATATTAATAGAATAGTCTTTATGGCAACCCTAAATCAGTTCAGGTGCAAAAGATTAGTTTGAAAGGTCAAAAATTAGTGTAATGGTCTCTGTTTGTGTGTGTAATCAAAGTGTTTTAACTTGACTTCAGAGTAAATGATTCTGTTCAAACCACAACTCACATAGTGATACGACAAACTAACCATGAAGACTAAGGAGCTTTCCAAACAAGTCAGGGCTAAAGTGGTAGAGAAGCACAGATCAGGAGAATGTTACACGAAAATAGGACGACTTCTTTAATTGAAGAAGGTCTCAGTATATAAGCCGAAACATCGTCCTCTTTTCACTCCACTCAGTTCATTAAAGTTCTAAAACCTTCAGTTTATAAATTTGTTTGAAGGTTTTGCTGACATTCAACATTCTTCACAAAAAAATGTTAAGTTTGATTATTAAAGTTTTGAATAAAAACACGTTCATTAAAAAAATACATTATTTGTATTTCATCAAAATGTGACATTATTGTTAGGGGGAATAC